CTAAATAGTATAGGATCCTTATGATAAGGACCCCAAACAGGTAGCCCTTATTTTCGGAAACTCCCATGTATGTACATGTATGTAGGTGTAGGTATATCTTCCCGTGTTTGCACATGTATATGTATGCATATATGTAACGACACATCTACAAAGACCCGAAACCAGTCAAAACTCCCGAAGCTCACCGACTTTGAGTTTGCAGGCTTGGTTCTACTTCGGATCCTGGTGTGAGCCCACAACCAACTTCCCAAAAGTTCTGGAACCATTTCTGCCACCTAAACGATCAAGCCCAAGCCCAAAGCCCAGAAGTTCCCGCGAACACAGCAGTCTTGAACCGCAATCCCACAAACCGAATAGACCCGAGACTACCTTGTCCTAAAATTCCCCGTTCTATGATCCTTATGAAACCCAATAAGAGCAACAAGAGACCGTAAGTCAGCCTCGAACCCGGAATTCCAGACACTGTGCTAAAGCTAGAGCCCACCCTAAACCAAGAGAAGAGAGCCTCAAACCCCAAACATCTGGATTTGGTTCTCCCGCCGACTCTTTGTTGATTGAAGCAGGCTCATGTGTTTGTTGCAAAATGTTCTATCCTCTGCATGTTTAGCGACATTCCCCAAATGAAGCCAGCTTTTAAGCTAGGTTGTAGCTGTGTGTATGTGTGGGTTCATGCCTAATCGTGTAACCCCCGCAGCCCCATTGGAGCTGCAAAACCATGTGTTTAAAGTCACGAAAGCATGCTCGGATGATCACTTTCGGTATTTAGGTTATATAGGCTCTAGGCACAAAGACTTCAGCAGACATGGCCGGTGCAAAGCGAAAAAGAGGGGGCGGCCAGCAACAGAGGCTGACAGCAGCAAGGCTTGAGGGGGAACAGGACACAGTCGGCAGTGTGCTCGTCAAGTACCTCTTGAGTCAGATGGCTTGGGGGATGATGTCCCCTCAGGACACTCAACTCATTGCCTCACTTGCAAGGCGGGACATGGAAGCAGCTGAGAACAATCCCAAGATTTATGAGGAGGTGCAGAAGTTGTCCAATGTTGGCTGCGGCGGAGCCTACCCCAGCAAGGTTTACTCCGATATCATGTCACGGTGCATGCCTCAAGCACAGCTACCAAAGCCCTTCTTTTTCAGACTTCCTTTTCGGGAACCCTTGGGCGAGCTTTTACAGTCGTGTTTGTTACCACACGAATTGTTCGCATCGATATACCACAGCTACAGATCGACATGGACAAAATGCATCGTCAAGAGCGAAGAGGTTTGCGAGAACTTCTGGACAACAATGGCAGGACATCCTGCCGTCGTGCCGGGAATGACATCGCGACCAAATTTTTACAAAAGGTGTGTGCCGCTCGCCCTTCACGGCGATGGAGTGCCGCTCACAGGAGTGGGCAAATCTTGGCAGAATACGATAACCGACTTCTCCTTCTACTCACTTCTTGGTGAAGGGAAAACTCCCGATCTGCTGATGTTCGTGTACTGCCTTTTTGACAAGTTGAGGAAGATGGGCCGAGACAGCACCGCTACGGCACATCGTTTTTTTGAGATCCTCCGATGGTCTTTCAGAATTATTTGGTCTGGAACATGGCCAAGTCACGACTACAACGGTCGAAAGCTTCTTGGCTTCGTACTGAACAGCTTTATGATTTGTGCCCCAGTTGTTTTGATTGTTCTTCAACACACAATCACAACTAAACAAGCCACACCCGTACAAATCAAGTCAATGTCTTGTTCTCTGCTTTCCCGCACAGGTACAAGCCAGGCAGTGAGGAGGCCAAGAAGGCTGGGAAGCCCCTTGCAGACGGATGGTATGGAATCTTATTCAGTTTTTGTGGGGACTTGGATTACTACCATTCGCTACTGGATTTACCGAATAGTCGCACGGCCTCTGGACCGTGCACACTTTGCAGAACAACGAAATATGGACCTTTGTCGTGGCAGGATTATCGGAGCACGGCCGGGTGGCGAACAACTTGTCACACCCCAGCTAGCTGGAGTGCCCAGGATGACAAGTCTTCATGCCCTCTTTTTGGGCTACCCTTTGTTACTGGTGTCAATGTCTGCTATGATTGGCTCCACTGCAAGTATGTAGGCTCCGATCAGTA